AAATTGTTAAACTACAGATCTGGACCATCTGACTTCCTTCCTTCTCTGGGAGACATGTTTCAGAGATGAGCCTGGTTCGTTTGACCCTGTGGTGAGTACTTTCTCTGAGGTCATCTTTCTACTAGGCATTCCAGGGCCCTGGAGCTAGAATCCTCCCAAAGATTTTTGTTATAGAGAAACAGTAAACAAAACAAACAAACAAGCAAAAAATGATTCTGAAACACTTACCCAATGAAAGCCTATCCCAAGGTTAATCAAGAGATCAAATGAGTAGGATGTTACCTCACCATAAACTAGCCGATTGAAAGAAGCTAATTCTACAGTTTCACGTGCTTCAAGCCATTCAATCTCTTGGTTTAGTTTTTTTTTTTTTTTTTGTTTTGTTTTTTTTTTTTTTTACTTTATCTAGAATTTGAAGAGGCTTAAAAATACACACGGTTCCAAAGGGAAAAATAAAAAGCTAGACAGAAGAGGGAGAAATAAAAAACCTGAAGAGGCAGGCATTTGTCTAATATCCTGGTGTGGTAAGATATGAGTGGTAGGCATTGATATGACCCTGATATGTGACCTCCTCAAGGAAAGCAAAACACACCAGAATGCCCAGGGAACAAATGCATACAGGTCTTGCAATGGCTTCTTACAAGGAGAGGATGCGATGGAGAAGTTCCAGCATGTCTGATGAGTTGGAACCCCAAGTCTCTCCCATTGAGACTCTAAGAGTGTGGCAAAGTCTGGAACTGAATTTGATCAAAGCCATCACACAAAGAACTCCCATGTCACCCATGTGGTCTGAGCACAGAGTAAGCCAGTCAGACCCATATAAATGGTTAGGCAGCTGCTCCCATTTCAGACTTTTGCCTTGAGTATTTTTTACTTGAATATTTGTTAAGAGGTTTTTTTTTAAGGTGATATTCTTTGGCAAGGGGCAATGTGAAAACTCATCTTTATTGAGCACTTAGTATGTACCAGGTAGTCTAAGCACTTGCTGTGTACCATTAGCTAATGTAATCTCCGTGGAAACCATGTGATACCATTGTCCTCATTCCTGAAGATGAGACAGGTGAGGAAGCAAAAGAAACTAAAAGTCAGATGGTTTGGATACCAAAGAATTAAAATTCAGGCTTTCTGGTTTCCCTGTGTTTAGGTGATTTTAGGAATGGCTTCAGTGTGTTCCTGGTCAAGGGCCAGTCCTAAACTATGAAGGTTTACATTTCCTCAAATTCAGCAGTTGGTCCGACACCCATCAAACACAGGTAGTACTAAGGGGTCTTCATTTGCTCTTTTTTTTTAAAGAGCACATGAAGCTGGGGTGAGGGCAGAAGGGTAGAGAAGATAGGAGAGAAATTTGAGGGGAGGGAATGGGGTGTAGATTTGATCAGAATGGATTATATATATGCATGAAATTCTCAATAAAAATAATTATAAAAAAGGCAATAGCCTAAAGTGACGTAGAACTGAAAAGATACAACCATTATGTAGTGAAAAACTACATGGGAGAGTATTGCCATCAGTGGTCACTGTAGTGTTCAGAGTGATTCGCTCAACAGTAAGTACTGACACACTGGAACCGCTTACTGCTTTCAAACCATTACCCACTGAACCATTTTCCATGCCCTGTCCATTCTGCCACCTCTGTAACAGTAAAAGTAGGTGACCCCAACCTTTGTGTGATCAACCTCTTTAGAAGTTGTGTGTGAGGTTGTAAAGGCTTTCTTTGCCAGGCTTATGTCACTCAACAGGATCTCCTGATCATCCCTGTTGTCACACATAACAGGAGTTCATTCTTTTCATGGCTAAATAGTATTCCACTCTGTTCACACACCACATGTTTTGTGTATTCACCAGCTGGTGGACACTTAGGTTGTTTCCCTTTATTTATATAGCAAATGTGTCTATTTTGAGTAATTATAAAATATCTGAAGGAAAAGATATAGGAAGAGGGACCTTCCTGAACAGGATTGTCTTTCTACAGTATGGGAAAAATGAGGAGTTTCCCAAAGAGCTGTCATACAGTTTTGGATACAGGCTCAGTAATTTCAGGTTAACATAAAAATGCAGAGAGGGTCCTGCTAAAGTATTTTTATTTGTCTCCCATCCACTGAAGGAAGAGGAAAAAGAAGAAGGAGTAGAATGGAGGAATTAGGGAGGTGAGGAAAGGGGGTGAGGTGGGGAAGGGGTATGGAGGTTGTCATACTTAGATATTCATGCTCCAATTTGAAACTGTACCAACCCAGCGAATATGGGAACCATTGGCACCTGGTTTTTTGAATGATGTTAGAAAAAGAACTGACATTAATAACTACAGGGATGCAATAACTCGGAGGATGCAGAAATGCTGGGTGACAACAGCTAGCTTTTTAGCTTTCTGAGTTTTCCCAAATTTTCAAGCATAGATAAATGTCAAAAGGCAAATTATTTTACTCTTTTGTACCTTGGTGTCTTTTTCAAGAGAGAAAGAAAGAAAGAAAGAAAGAAAGAAAGAAAGAAAGAAAGAAAGA